CCACATGGCCTCGGTTACGTGGGTTCGTGACGTAAGGGGTAAAAGAATCTTGAGGTCATGGGGCTTCCCCTGACCTGGATTCTATCTCTCCGTCACCGGCAGAATCGCTGATTAATGCCTACAGTTCAAAATAGTCATTTTGACTGACCGAAGTCTATGGTGGGTATGAACTATGTGAATAGGCGGGTTCGGAGAACCCTCGCCTAATTTTGGCATACTGTATAAACATAGGAGATTAGACAAATGTGCCAATACATGGGAGTGGGATTATAGTAACAGTTGAAATTGGTATGATACATGTAGCATTACATATTGCATGTGCAAATGGTTATTTTTTTTTTAGATCTGAAAAATGAGTGGCACCTGGCAGCTATTTTGATTTTTCACTGTGTTCATACCTAATCTCTGGATCTTGATTACTACCAATCTTTTACTTTCAAGCTTAATCTCAGTGACTTCAAAAGTTTTTAAAGATGTCATAGACATTTGAATTATTGAATTCTAGTTTCACACTGTGCACCACATTCCCACTACTTTACACTTTAGTTTTACACTTTCCCCCACTTTTCCACTAATTTTGCACCTTAGAATAACACTTTGCACCACTTTTCCACGGCATTGCACTCTAGTTTCACACTTTGCACCACTTTCCCACTACTTTGCACCTTAGATCCACACTTTGCACCACTTTTCCACCACTTTGCACTCTAGTTTTACACTTTGCACCACTTTCGCAGTACTTTGCACTCTAGTATCACATTTTGCACCACTTTCCCACTACTTTGCACTATAATTCACTACGTTCAATTACCCACCATAGACTCTGGTCAGTCAAAATGACTATTTTGAACTGTGGGCATTAATCAGCGATTCTGCCAATGACGGAGAGATATAATCTAGGTCAGGGGAAGCCCCATGACCCCAAGATTCTTTTCCCTTACGTCACGAACCACGTGACCGAGGCCATATGGCGGCGCCATTACGGCTGGCTAATCACTCTGATTTTTCTCCGCCTCGTATGAAGATGAAATCTAGCGAGCTCTGCCTGGATCGCTTGCTTTTTCCTGTCCGGGTTTCTAGCTTGGGTTGTTGCCACTGGGCGGCATCTGACATTGTAGCTGGTAGGATAAGTTTTCCTTGTCATTTTTACCCTCGTGTTGTTTTCACCTTGTGTGTAGCATTTTTCACAACAAAGAAATAAAACCCGGGCGACGTAGCTTAATCACTTGTTGATTGCAATAAAAATCATTTAAAGTGAGTTGCGTGTTTGGCATGAGTGGAAAGTCCTCACGCTCGGCTACCGGTGCTTCGCGTACCGGGACTTGTGGAGGTACCGATATTTTTTATGTAACACTTTCCGCTGGACCAAATGCTACCTGGTCGGTGTGGTTTTGGGATCAGACCCTAAAGTGTGGGATGAGACCAAAATACCCCCAACCGGATCCCAAGGCTCCTTCCCCAGACCCTGGTATCACGAATTTTCGTTTGGCAAACTGGGTAAAGGGGGACAGCCGCGTTCCATGTGCATTCTCCCCAGCTCAATCTGAGATAATCCATCACGCCCTGAGGGCAGAGTTACTTGAGCGCATTATTTTGCGCGCACAGAGGCAGAACGCACCAGCCTCCTAGACCAGGCGACACATTTACTGGTGGGCCACCGCACATCTACGTGCGACATCCCCTAGTGTCACCTGGCTCTTTTGGCCGGCGCCACTACTGTGCAATGAGACGCGGCCTTAGAGGCATGTGTTTTCGCTGGCAAACTGAGTCAGGGGTTACGTCCCCACCTCAGTGACACAGAGTGGACATCTTCCACCCTCTTTGTTCAGGGAACAGTGGGTACAGTCTCGGAGCTTCGGAGTGCAATGAACCAGAGGGTTCAGATCAAATCCGCTAGCCAGTTGGCCCTGCTAAGGGCAAGCGGAGGGCACCCCAAGCACAGAAAACACATCACCCTAGGGTGTCGTCTGCTAGCCAGAGTCAGCCAGGAGGCAAGCGCTCATACCCGTCTACCAGAGGGAAGAGTAGCGGTGCGCCCCCAGGGAGGAAAGGGTCAGGTGGTGGCTCCTTACCCTCCTCGGGCGGTCGTCTACCCTGGCAGCAGGGGAAGCGTGCTGTCAAATTTTGTCGGCCCGGAGGGTCAGGAGGAATTGCTTCTCTGCTCGGTTCAGAGTTGCTACCAAACTGTACTAAGGATTCAGGATGGGGTGCCAGGCACATATCTTTGTGTTACGGCCCAGGCAGGCAGGATAGGACGGCCTTTCCAACTTCCATAACTAGGTGGTTTTACTGCTACTGTATTAGAGGTCTATAATACTTTAACTGCCTCGACACAGAGCTTGCAGAAACACCAAGTACGAGTGCATGAGGTCTGTGCGATTGCCAACTCACTAGTGCTAGCGTCAGGCGCCCTCCCTCGAGCACACACAGAAGGCAGGCTTCTGGAGAACGCAGAACGTCTTTATCAACTACCACCTAAGAGACACCGAATCCATTGAGGAGGGTCTCTTTAGGTTGGGTCCCGTCGTAGCGGGTCAGACTTGGTTTACTGACCCAGCCCGAACGACCACAAGGGTCCCTGCGCATAGGCGATAAGTCAGTCTCGGCATTTTATGTGGACAGATTTCTCTACCATCAGCACTACCTGGAAGCTCCCAGGTCCCACTTTGCGGCCTATGCCCTCATGCAGAACTGTTTCGGTCTTTACTTCGAAAGCTTACTACCCCCCGAATTGGGTTGGGTCTAGCTTTCTCGGGCACACCGAACCCTGTCACCGTAGCAGCATTTTGGCTTCTTGCTACGGGGACAGCACAGGCAAGGTAAGACACCACCCTTTTTGGGTCTTAACTAAGGTGTTGAGTGATTATTGTAGAGTGTTTCATCCCGGACTGGGAAAAGACTTTCATCATTTTTCTGTTTTGCTTGGAAAACCCGCCACCTATCGGTGTCTGCCTACAGTTCAAAATAGTTATTTTGAATGACCGGAGTCTATGGTGGGTGATTGAACGTAGTGAATTTAGGTAGAGGGTTCTCTGAACCCACTTATTCACATACTTCATACCCACCATAGACTCTGGGTCACCCCCAACCACCCCACTCTTTCCGTAGCGTTGGTCTAAGTCCTTGAGGTGGAGAGAAACTAACCAGAGTGATAAGCCAGCTGTAATGGCGCCGCCATATGGGCTCAGTCACATGGTTCGTGACGTAAGGGAGAAGAATCTTTGTGTCATGGGGCTTCCCCTGACCTAGATTCTATCTCTCCGTCATTGGCAGAATTGCTGATTAATGCCTACAGTTCAAAATAGTCATTTTGACTGACCGGAGTCTATGGTGGGTATGAACTATGTGAATAGGTGGGTTTGGAGAAACCTCTGCCTAAGTTTCACACTCAGCACCACTTTCCCACTACTTTCCACTCTAGTTTCACACTTTACACCACTTTTCCACTACTTTGCACCTTATATTCACACTTTGCACCACTTTCTCGTTACATTGCACTCTAGTTTCATACTTTGCACCACTTTCCCTCTACTTTACACTATAGTTTCACACTTTACACCACTGTTCCACTACTTTGCATTCTAGTTTCACACTTTGCACCACTTTCCGACCACTTTCCACCTTAGATTCACACCTTTTCCCCACCAGTTTGAACCTTAGATTCATACTTTACACCTTTTTCTCACTACTTTGTTCCGTAGATTCATACTTTGCAGCAGTTTTCCACTACTTTGCACATTTGATTCACACTTTTCACTACTTTGCAACTTTAGATTCACACTTTACCACTATTTTGCACTCTAGTTTTACACTTTGCACCACTACTTTGCACTCTAGTTTCAAACTTTACACCACTTTTTCACTACTTTGCACCTTAGATCAACACTGTGCACCACTTTTCTGCTACGTTGCATGTTAGATTCACACTTTGCACCACTTTTCAACTACTTTGCACATTTGATTCACATTTTGCACCACATTTCCACTACTTTGCTCTCTAATTTCACAAATTTCGCTTTCCCACTATTTTGCACTTTGTCATTTTAATATAATGATTTCATTTTTCTGATCTTTCTGTTCTATAGGAATTTCTTGCTGATTATGGTATGGTATGGGTAGGTAAATCTTCACCAAGAAATGAAATGTACGATGGAAGTGAATTTTTATCAGATGATGATGATGGTGAGGATGACGAAATGTGGAGACCTGGTAAGATTGTATTAAATATTATATCACTTACCATAACACAATAAACACAGGTATGTCAGTGTGATATATGTCAATGTGTTTACACAACACTCACCATAACACAATAAACACAGGTATGTCAGTGTGATATATGTCAATG